AAAAAAAAAAAAAAAAAAAAAAAAAAAAAAAATTACGCGCGAGCTCTTGCGAAATCTTAAGAAAACCATAGGTTTTCCAAGATTTTCACAAAATGCTACCAAACGGGCTTCGCGCGCGCGCATGTCGAAATCTGTCGAACGCTCTTGCGCGTGTGCCGTCGCGAGAATCCTCTGCAAAAAACGGGACGAAGTGCAGACGCGCGCGTCGTCGCGGGCGTATGCCGAAATCCTTCAAAAACCTTCGGTTTCGGAAGAATGTCGAAATCGTGCGTCCAAAAAACCTACAAAAACACAAGGTTTCGCAACACGGGTTTTCAACAAAATTGTGCGCGCGCGCTCTTGCGTCGTCGTCGTCGTCGTCCTCCCTCCTCCCTCGTCGTCGTCGTCGTCGTCGCCGTCGTCGTCTTCTGTCTTTCCTCGTCGTCTTTGGCGTCGTCGTCGTTTCCGTCGTCGTTGTCGCCGTGGTCGTCCTTCCTCCCTCGTTGTCTTCGTCGGCGTCTCGTCGTTGTCCCTCCTATTTCGTCGCCGTCGTCGTCGTCGTCGTCGTCGTCGTGTTCTTCACTCCTCCCTCGTCGTGATCCTCCTCCCTCGTCGTCGTCGTCCGTCGTCGGCGTCTCGTCGTCGTCCCTCCTATTTCGTCGCCGTCGTCGTCGTCTTCGTCGTCGTTGTCATCGTCGTCGTCTTCCCTCCTCCCTCGTCGTTGTCGTCGTCGGTCGTCGTCGTCGCGTCCCGTCCTTCCTCCTTCTTCGTCGTTGGCGTCGTCGCCGTCTTCCCTCCTCCATCGTCGTTGTCGTCGTTGTCGCCGTCGTCGTTTTTTCTCCTCCCTCGTCGTCGTCTCCGTTGGCGACGTCGTCGTCGTCATCGTCGTCGTCGTCGGCGTCGTTGTCGTCGTCGTCGGTGTCGTCGTCGTCGTTGTCGTCGTCGAAAACATTGGGGACGTCGTCGGTGTCGTCGCAATCGCTGTCGGCTGCGCCGTCGTCGTCGATGTCGCTGTCGTCGTCGGCATCGATGTCGTGGCCAAGTGCCACGCAATACCTACCGTCACGGTTTTGTCTGAAGATTTCTTGCGACCAAGTTGCGGGTGGGAGGGTGGGATGTTTGCACGATCAGTGGAGAGGACAGCTTCAAGACAGTCGAAGTGGATTGCACCGCGTAGATTTTCCTTCAAAAAAAAAAAAAACACCCCCACCCACCCCTGGACTTATCCGGTCCCCCGAACCGATGCAAAACACGTATGATTCTGACCCAAGTGTCCATCCGACGTGTGAATTCATACTATCCCAGCTAAACCAGTACGGGTCCCCTCTCAGTTCCCGCTCGAGAAATACACGGTTACATTTTTGCTTCCACCATAGCATTTGTTCGCGAAACCCTTGCAAAACATGGGACGAAGTGTGCGCGCGCGTCGTCGCGCGCGCATGCCGAAATCTTTCAAAAATCTGTGGTTTCGGAAAAAATCGAATGTAAAAAACAGAAAATTTCGCAACGCGGATGTTCAACAAAAGCGTGCGCGCGTTCTTGCGAATCCGTACGGAAACCATGCGTTGTTCAACATGTTCATAAAATGCTACCAAACGGGATTCGTGCGCGCGCGTGTCGAAATCGTTCGAGCACCCTTGCGCGCGAGCTGGGGTGGCACGATCCGTCTCAAATCAATCAATGCAAGCCGCTCTCGCGCGCCTGCCACTCACACATTTTGAAGTCCTTCCAAAACCTTCATCACCGACGCGATGACGCCGTCATCGTCGTCGGCGTGATCAGCACCGGCGTCGTCAATGGTTGCCCCGTCGTCGCTGTCAGCATCGTCGCCAGCATCGCTACTATCATCATCGTGTCTACCGTTGTCGACGTTGCCATGTACCGCGCCCGCCCAAGTCGCCGACTCGCATTGACGTGGAAGGTGGGATGTGCCGAGCGGTCAGCGCCACCACGTTCGCGTCAGTCGCACAAAACTAGGTGGCCGCTGCGCGCGCGAGCATGCGCGGGCTAGCGCGGCCGCAGAGATGCACCAGCCAACACCCAGCACTCATCGCATTCGCTCCCGCATGGGTTTTGAAAAACCAACTCGCGGATGGGCGGGTGGGATGACTGCGCGAGCACAGGAGTTGACAACTTCAACTTCGGCTAGTGAGACGCATCACTTACAATTTCCTCTCTTACAAGAAATTAGATTCTAACCCCATCACCACCCCGGGATTACCCCCCCCCCTGGGGCAATATAACTTACATATGAGTTTGCCTCCTCGTCCAGTTTCCATGCGAGCGCAAACCACCCCAACGAGTCCTGGTATCGCCCCCCCCCCTCTCTCATCCGTGTCAAGTAATTCCATCTGGTGCACACGCGTTGATCTAAGATGAGCTAAATGCACGAACCCCTTTTGAAAGATGACCGTGCGGGCCACATGCGCGCGCGCAAGACGAACCTGTCCAAAACCTTTTGTTCGCGTTGCGATTCCAGCGTAAAACATCAAAAAACCAAATTGCTCGTCAACAAAAGGTGTTTCAACATTTCATCCCGCGCGTTTTTGCTGATTCTTTGGGAACCTAATGTTTTCTCAACCTTCCTGTCCAAGGAGGCCTTCGCGCGCGCATGTCGAATGTATTCCTATGCCCTCGCGTGCTTGCCAGAGGCATGATCCCTGTCAAATAATACCATGCGGGGCACCGTCATCGTCATCATTGCCGACGGAAGCGTCCTGATCATCCTCATCGTCGTTTGTCGACGCCGTCGTTCGCGCTGTCTCCCGCAAAATTGATTCTGCCCGCGCGACGAGCGTCCGCGCGACAATGAACACGATAAAAGTAATGGGAGGAGCTCCACGGTGCAACTGTACTCTCGACCTGATGAATTCTGCCAACCACCTCACCGTAGTTTGTCGACGTTGTCATCCGCGCTGCCTCCCGCAAGATGGATTTTGCCCGTGCCGCGAGGGTCCGCGTGCCAGTGGGCTCGATGATATTTGTGGACGAGCTCCACGCTGCAACAGCAGTCGCGACCTTGCGAATTCTGCCGATCAAGATGCGGGTGGGAGGGTGGGGCGTCTGCACGAACATGGGAGGTCGTCACGCGCGGTGCAGCGTGGTCACTTGAACCACATAGATTGCACCAAAAGAAATGCACATAAACCTCAACTTCTGGCGTTCCGCACGGACTTCTTGGACTCGCGCTGGACCCCCTCTGTGGCGCGCTCCGCGCGCCAGGGCTGGCGCCGGAGGCGCCGCCGGGGGGCCCAGGAGGGAATCCAAGAAATCCGCTCGGAGCGCCAACAAGTTTATGTGTATGCGGTGTTTTCTTCTTCGAAGACTGCACCACGTAGATTGCAGCTTGCACCGCAGAGATTGCGCAACACAGGCTGCCAGACACACACACACACACACACACACACACACACACACAAACACACTGCTTGGGGCCCACGCCGGCCAACAGCTGTGAGGACGCGAGGATGTCTGGGCCCGCGGCCCGCCCCGCGGAGGCTCCCTGCTCAACGTCAGCCAGAGTTAGGTCGGGCATGTCCCCCGACAGGTGGATTATGGACGAAAAACGTTTGAAACCCAATCTTTTTTGAACGTCCTATTCTTCGACTATTTTTGAATATTCCTCCTGTAGAGGGACACGCCCGGCTTAAATCCAGAGCCAGGGCGGCGGGCAGGGCGGCGGGTTGGCCGCGGCCCCCCCCCCCCCGTGGGCGACAAACATACCCGTATCCACGGCCTCGCGGGCTGGGACCCAGGGTCGCTTTGATCGCGGACACGGGGCGCTGTGATCGCGGATGCCCCACGCAGAACGTGCCTGTGCGACAGCGCACCTGGGGAAACCAGAAAGCATACCAAACATTACCGCTACTCCCCAGACCTCTTCCGGGGTGCGTTCGGACCAGAAGATCGAGGCGAATCCACCGCTGGCGACGAGGGCCCCCCAGGAGACCCCAGAAAAGGGAAAAACGAGGCAGGGGCAATGGCACCGGTAATCCAGAACCCCTCCCCCAGTAAGTGAACTAAATTACCTCTCCAGCGGCTCAACAACAGAGGGAACCACAAAAAAACTCCGCCGCGACGAGGAGGCTTTAGGACCAGCTCTAGTCACAGCCGGGAGATCAGGGGGGGGTCAAAACTAAAAACCCCCTGAGGTTACCTCTTCCTCATCTGAGTATCCGCGGGTTGGGCCCTCGGAATCAGGTCACTCCGGCGAAGGGTCACTCTTACAGTGGAGGCCCGTCCACAAGAAACCTTCCGCAAGAAACCCAGCCCTGAGACCCCAGGACGTCCATTGCTTTTTGGCGTGGGAACGCCACTCCTTCCATCGCAAAACCATCGAAACCCAAGAAACCCTGGAGGCAAGCAGGGTGGTTCTTGGCATGGGCCCCCACTGTACGTGTAGCCATAGGTCGGGCGTGTCCTCCCTGCAGGCGGCGTTCGGACGAAAAATGAAAAACGGCCCAGACATGCTCCAAAAGTGTCGAGAACTGGTCAAAAAAACGTCCCCCGACTATCTTGGAACCTTTGCTGGAATAGAGGGACAGGCCCGACCTAAAGCGCAGTCGACTCTGAGAGCCCGCGGAGTGGGGCCCCGGCACCCAGGCCGCGAAGGCGCTGCCGCGGCCTGTGCTCGTCGCTCGTGGCCCCGCCGCGGCCCCCTCGGCCCTGCAGCCGCCCCCGTGGGCGTTCTCGCCGTCGCCGTCGTCGCCGTCGCCGGCGGCGTCCGGCGTCGCCGACGGCGGCGCCGACGCCTTGAGCTTCGGCCTCGTCGTCCTCGTCATCGTCGTCGTCGTAGCCCTCCTCCTCCTCCTCCTCCTCCTCCTCCTCCTCCTCCTCGTGGCCCTCCTCGTGGCCCACCTCGTCGTCGTCGGCGGCGTCGGCAACGGCGCCGCGTCGCCGTCGACGTCCCCGACGTCGTCGTCCCCGTCGTCGCCCGTCGTCGGCGTTGCCGTCAGCGCCCCGTCGTCTGCCGCGCGGGGGTGGCGGTGCGGAGGGCGGCCGTGGGGGGGAGGCGCGGGCACCTTGGCGGAGGCGCCCGCTGGCGTGGCGGGATCCAGGCACGCCTGCTGCGGCGGGGGGGGGGGGGCGAGAATCTGGAAAACCGAATGTGAGACGCACAAAGACATACTAGTACTATATCTTCTCCTTGGAGGCGCGCGTCCGACCCGAACATACAGTATACCCATCGTGTAACACATCGTTTCCCGAGCCGTGTGGCCAGAAAGCGCCCGCCGCGACGCATATACTATAAGATTTCTCGGTGCGCGCGTCGCCCCTGGGGGGGCGACGCACATGTAGTATTATAAGTATGTTGGGGTGACGCCGAGAATGATACTCCAGACTGCTCAACAAGCGTGGGGTGGTGGACATGGACCGTCCCACGGGGTGGGCGTGGGGATGCGCAAAGTCTGACACTGCGGTGGGGTCCCCCGTGGACGCCTGTCCTGTCCGTCTGGCAAGGGGCGTCGGGGCGGGGGGCAAGTTTGGTGACTTGTCCTTATCTCGCAATCGATAGGTGGGAACGGCTAGGATGGCCTGGGAGGCGCTGATTCCACATTCCGGGGCAAAGGACCACACGTGAACCCTCTCTCCCTGCAGATCAGACCTCTGACCACAAACCGGCCAGGGCCCAGAATCTGAGGGATACCTGCAGCCAGTGGAACCCCCGCGGGAGTGGTCGATACCCAGCGGCGACTGGACTTCGGTCGGGCATGTCCTCCTACAGGCGGAGTTTGGACAACAAATGAAATATTGCCGAAACATATTCAAAACAAAAAACCAACACAAATAACAATAACAACGCTAACAATATATACCAACAATAATAACGATACAAATAATACGAATAATGAAAATACGAATGAGAATGCGCATGATACGAATACGAAGAAGAAAAGAAAAGAAAAGAAAAGTCGTCCCCAGATTATTCTTTGCCTATCTCTGCATCTTCCTCCTGTCGAGGGCCACGCCCGACTTCAGACGGGACCCGCGGGGGGGCAGGGCTCGCACAGGGCCGCAGCCAGGACCGGGCCCGGCCTGGGCCGGGCCCTGTCGGGCCCCCAAGCCGTGCGCGGCCCGGGAGCGAGAGCAGTCCTGCAGCCGAGGATCGAAGGTGGCGCCCGTGCCAGGGCAGGGCCTCGCTCGAGGGCCCTTCGCTCGAAGCTCGACGGCGCCCCGATCGAGGCTCGAGGATTCGTCGATCGAGGGTCGAGGGTTCTGCGGTGGAGGGTGGAGGATCCGCCGGATCCGCCGTTCGAGGATCGATGGTTCTTCGATCCAGGATTCGAGGAGCGAGGCAGCTGGACGATCGGAGGCTTCCAAAGGCCTCCCTCCCCTCCTTATCAGCAAAAGCCGATTCCGGAAAACGGGTGGGGAACGGCATCCGGGGGAAGCCTGGCACACGGACGGGAGGTGCGACTCCGCAGGCATCCCTGATCACCTCCCGTGCTGATCACCCGGGGCTCTGATGGAAGTCGCTGAAGGGGCCCTGGGACACACAAAGAAATAGACACCAATGACAGGATTCCTCGTATGTTCCTGTATTTTCAGGGTTTTTGTCTTCCCCCCCCTTCCCATATTTTCCTAGATGCTCCCGGGGATCAACGATTCAGTGTGTCTGTGTGTTGTTTCCCCTCCTGGGTAGCCTGTTTCTCTGGCAGGCGCGCGCGATCTCGATCGCCCGCGACCCGCGGGGGAGGCACGGCGTGCCCAAGCGCCTGCCTGCCGGCGGCGTGCGGACGTGCACCTGCCTGCCAGCGGCGTGCGGACGTGCGGCACGAGGGCGGAACTTCAGTCCAAAATATGATTAAGACAATGATCAAAGTATGAGGCAGCTACTGGGAGGTTTTCGTCGGAAAGATTAAAACAGATTAAGCCCCATTTGAAAGCTGCTTCGCCAGAGTGGGCCTCGGACTCAGCGGGATTAAGCCAGATTAAGCGGGATTCAGCCAGACTAAGGGGTATCAAGATTAAGCAGGATTTCGGACCAGGGCAAAATCAGAATTTGACCTCCCAGGAGTTGCATCCGAAACAGTCAAAAATAGGATTCAGAAACTTGTCAAGTAAGAAAGCTGGGCCAGCTTTTCATAAGTTTCTCAAGGAGACGCTGGGCCGGCTGTGGGAGCCAGGAGCGTACACGATTCACCTCCAGGATCCAAGGCTGCCAATCCCCTTAAGAAATTGACCCAGCTTTCTAGCAAGCTGGTTAAGAAACGCTGGGCCAGCTTTTCGGGGGGAGGTTTCTTAATCAAATGCTCGACTGTAGGAGGTAACTCCAGGGCGGCCTTGGTGTAAACGGTCCAGGGCGTCTGAAACCCGTTTGAGGGGCTACGAAGCCGATTGAGGCTGGGTTGCGGGGCTGAGCGGAACTCAACGGGATAAGGACTGTCTTCGACCACAGATGTACCAGCGCCGATGCTGAATCCAACCTCCCAGGGGTTGCAACGGACACGAGCTGTTGCCCAGACCTCAGACAAAATCAAGACAGCCTTGTTTTCTCCATGGTCGGCGCCCCCCTGGGCCCGACCCACCATTGCACCCCCCCTGGCTGAGGGGCAACGTCAGGGGGGGGACCCAGCTCAGGGGGGGACACAGCGACCTCGAATTGGCGTTACGTCGCCGATCCGTCGGCGGTACGTTCTCGGTAGCGAAGCCGCGCGCTCCTGGGCGGGATGGGCCATCAGGCCCCCCTCGGCGATCAATGGGCGACTGGGCCTGTGCCGTGCCCCCTGACGCTGCCCCTCATGGGCCTGACTCTTCCGCCGCACCCAACTGAGGGCCACGAGGGGGAGGAGGACGACGGGGCGGAGGCGGAGGCAGAGGAGGACGAGGAGGACGAGGAGGACGAAGAAGAGGAGGAGGAGGAGGAGGAGAAGGAGGAGAAGGAGGAGGAGGATGAGGAGGAGGACGAAGAGTAGGACGAGGTGGAGGAGGAGGAGGAGGAAGAGGAGGAGGAGGACGAAGAGGAGGAGGAGGGGAGGAAGAGGAGGAGGAGAAGAAGGAGGGGAGGAGAAGGGGGGGGAGGCGGAGGCGGAAGCGGAGGACGGAGGCCGCGAAGGAGGAGAGGAGGAGGAGGAGGACGAAGAGGAGGAGCGGGGAGGAGGAGGACGAAGGAGGAGGAGGAGGAGGAGGAGGAGGCCTCCGGAGGAGGCGAAGGCGATGGAGGAGGAGGACCGAGGAGGACGAAGAGTAGGACGAGGTGAGGAGGAGGAGGAGGAGGGGGGGGGGAGGCGGAGGCAGAGGAGCGGAGGCGAAGGCGGAGGGCGGAGGCGGAGGCGGAGGAGGAGGAGGAGGAGGAGGCGAAGGAGAGGCGAAGAAGGAGGAGGAGGAGAAGGGGGAAGGAGGCGGAGGCGGAAGCGGAGAGGCGGCGAAGGAGGAGGACAAAGAGGAGAGAGAGGACAAAGAAGAGGAAGAGGAGGCGATGGAAGAGGAGACGAGGAGGACGAAGAGGACAAAGAGGAGGAGGAGGAGGAGGAGGAGGAGGAGGAGGCGGAGCGGAGGCGATGGAGGAGGAGGACGACGAGGACGAAGAGGACTAAGAGGAGGAGGAGGAGGAGGAGGAGGAGGAGGAGGAGGAGGAAGCGGAGGCGGAGGAGGAGGAGGAGGAGAAGGAGGAGAAGGAGGAGAAGGAGGAGGAGGAGGAGGAGGACGACGAAGAGTAGGACGAGGTGGAGGAGGAGGAGGAGGAAGAGGAGGAGGAGGAGGAGGAGGAGGAGAAGGAGGAGGAAGAGGAGGAGGAGGAGGAGGGGGGGGAGGCGGAGGCGGAGGCGGAGGCGGAGGCGGAGGCGGAGGAGGAGGAGGAGAAAGTCCCCCCCTCCCCCAACCCACGGGCCTGCGACAGGTGCAGCAGCTCCCCGGCGCGCGTCTCCACCTCAGCGGCAGCGCGCGCCTCCCCCAAAGTTCCCCCTCCTCGAGACAACGGGGGAAGGCGATCGGGCTCCTCCTGGAGCCTCTCCTCCTTCCTCCTGCCCCCCTTTCCTGCCCCCGCCTCGCCCTCCTCCTCCTCCTCCTTCTGCTCCTCCCTCCCCCTTCTTCTCCTGCTTCCCCTCATCCTGCACCTCCTGCCCCGGGCTCCCCCTCCTCCCAGGCTCCCCATTGCCCGCGCCTCGTCGAGGGGGTACCCTCCAGGGCGACCAGGACCGTCTGGCCGATGGCCGCCAAGGGCCCGAGCTACAGGCCCGAGGGCCGGCAACCGCATGTGCACCCCGCTGCAGGCCAGTTTCCTGCAACAACGGCGGGGGCATAGCACTTGAAGGAGTCGCCCGCAGCCAAGGGTGAGTATCGTTTATCCGATCCCCATCCCCAGCGGCGTGGCCGTGGCACCACTGGCCGATTTACCCCCCTAGGTGGGGATATGGGCCGTTCCCTTCGGGTTTCGAGGGGAGTGTATCCCCAACTGGGGGGGGGGTAATTTGGTGGGGGTCTCGAAGGGGATGGCGATGGGGATGGGGATCGGTTAAACGATACCGAAAGGGAGCCCCTGCGGGGGTGCCAACGCCCCAGCGCCGGCTGGACCTGCAGATGGGGCAGGGCATCGCGAGCGGGCGCAGACCCTGCGTCCGGGCTCCTCCTCCTCCTCCTCCTCCTCCTCCTCCTCCTCCTCCTCTCCCTCCTCCTGATCCTCCTGATCCTCCTCCTCCTCCTCCTCCTCCTCCTCCTCCTCCTCCTCCCTCGCCCTCTTCCTCACCCGCCCTCCTCCTCCCTCCGTCCCCCCTCCCTCCACAGGGGAGACCACAAGGTACCGAAAGCGCTGCTCCCCGGACCTCTCCCGGGGTGCGCTCTGACCAGAATCTCGAGGCGAACCCAGCGGTGGTGACTGGGGCCTTCCAGGACGCCCAAAACGAGGGGAAAAAACGGAGGGACAAGTGGCGGTATAGGTGCCGCTTCCTCCTCCGGGCGGAGGGAGCGTCACGGGCCGTCCCTCGACGTCCACCTGCCGCACCTGCCGCACAGCAGGCTCAGCGCACCCGCGGCGCGGCCGCCGACCGCGGGGCCCTCTGCCAGCGCGGCCACAGAGGCCGTTCACGCCGCTGCGGACACGCCGCGGCGGACACGCCGCGGCGGATGCCGCGCCCGAGAGGCGCACCGCGGAGGTGGAGGATTCTTGCTCCGTTCCAGGCCCCAGCAGGGGAACACACAATGGCATGAACATCAAACCTCGGAGGTCCGCGGTGACCTCGGAGTTATGACGGTTGGGGCGCCGAAGAAGGGACCCTTTTCCGTTGGGGAGGGGCTCGGTGTTCCTTGATTGTTGTGCAGTTTGCTTTGGGGGCTTCCTAAGGTTGCCCATGGGAAATCGAAGTTTAACTCATGGGACAAGGGGGCCTCGCTCCTGATTTAGGGTTAATTCGGTCAACGCCCCGACTGTATGTGTACAGTCGGGGCGTTGACCTGAGGAACCCAGAATAAGGAACGGGGCCCCTTCTCTCCATAAGTTCAACTTCGATTTCCTATCGAGACCATAAGGAAAACCTGAGGCACGCTGCGAAACAATTGAGGAACACGGAGCCCCTCCCCCAATGAAAAGGGCTCCTTCTTCAGGACCCCATACTGTATGTCACTGCCGTTCCCCAGCCCAGGGGCCCTCCCGGGTCGATCCGGCTCGCAGAGCCGAGCACGCGGAGGGGGGTCGGGGGATCTGGTCGTGATCTGCTCACGGCGCCGTCGTGCCGAGTTCTGCACTCACGTTCGGCTCTACAGTCGAAACGCTGTAGTAAGGAACCCCAAATAAGGAGCGAGGCTCCTGTGTTCCATACTTTCAGCTTCGATCTCGCATAGAACGCGTAAGGAGAACCTAAGACAAGCTGCAGAGAAATTAGGGAACACTGAGCCCCTCCCCAGCGAAAAGGGTTCCTTCTTCAGCGGCCCGACTGTACTTCAAGGTGTTCTCTGTCAAGGGTGAATCGAGGCTGCCCCCAAGAGCAAGGAGGTTCGCACGCCATCAAGCAAAGAGAGAGAGAGAGAGAGGACCCACGAGTTCAGCATCCCAGGGGGAGGCCTGGCCGAGAGCACCCCTGTATCACCCTGGCACGGGACGAAGGTCCCTGTCGGGGGCCAGCGGCAGGGCCCACCCCCCCTACGAAATCCATGAAGGTTCTTCTGACGGCAGGCCGTTGGCCTGCTGCCTCACACGAAGCTTCTCACCGTGGGAACTTGCCTCAATTTCGTTGAGGCCGAACGCCTGGGGACAGTCAGCGAGGCGGAGGTCACGTCCCGCCTTCGACTGCAGAGGCATCTCTCTCTCACACACACAGACACACACACAGACACACACATACACACACACACATCAGCCCCAGGCTGGGTCCCAGCACCTTCGCCCACTAACACTCCGCCGAACAAATCCCTCAGCAGGCCCTTCGGGGTGCACCAGGGGCCCAGCCCGAACGCTCGGGTGGGATGCTTCAGGCGAGCAAAACTGGAAGAGTTGTTGCGGCCAGCCACAAAAAGAGCCGCCTGAGAGCCAGGGCAAACTCTTGTCAGCCTTCTGGCCCCCTGGGAGGCAAAGAAAGGATCTGGAGGAAAAGGAGAAGAAGAAGGCACAGGAGAGGAGAAGTAGATAGGGTGAGGAGGAAGGGAGGGGACGAAGACGGGGGGCAGAGAGGAGTAATGGAAGTGAGGGTTCCTTCTCCTCTTCCTCCTCCTCTTCCTCTTCCTGCTCTTCCCTCTCATCGTCGACCCATGCTCCAACTCCTCCTCCTCCTCCTCCTCCTCCTCCTCCTGTTCTTCCTCCTCCTCCTCCTCCTCCTCCATTCCTTTCCTTATGAACAACTCCTCCCTCTCGCACCCCGATGGCAATCGTAAGGGCGGGCCGGGCGTTTCGCCTGAGACTTCTTTACTATTTATGAGCCTGCTGAAGCTTCGAAGCTGGCAACAATTTCACAACTGGAGGGGGTATCGTTTCCAGTATGTGGCTCTCGTCTTAGCGCCGCGCACAGTGGTTTCTTAAAACTACAAGACAGTTTCACACATGGAGGGCAGGTCGTCGGGAACATGTGGCTATCCCCTTAGCGCCGCGCCATTTCGTCTTAACAAAGTGGAAGAATTCCGCGGATTGAGGGCGGGCAGTTTTCAAACTGTGGCTCTCACCTCAGCACCGCGCACATTCGTTCAAGCAAATTGAAGGATCTTCACGGATTGGGGGCAAGTTGGTTTCACGATGTGGCGCCGTCGCGCCTCGCACATTTGTTTTTCAACGGATTGAGGGCGGGTCGTTCTCCAAATATGGCTCCCCTTAGCGCCGCGCGCCTGCGTCTTAAAAATTGCAGGAATTTCACGGATTGAGGGCGATTCCTTTTCAACATGTGGCTCTCTCCGTAGTACCGCGCACATGCGTGTCAAAAGTTCGCATGGGTCTCGCAGATTCTCATCGTTAAACTTATGGAGCTGTTGTTTTCGAGCGATTCCGGACTGTCTGGGCGCAACAGTTACGTTGATTCGCGGTGTTGAGGTCCCAGGAATGGCGTTCTGGTACGATTCAGGATCGTCAAGACGCAACAGTCAGGTTTGACACGTGGCGTTGGAATCCTAAGAATGGCGTTTTCGCACGCGTCAAGATTCTCACACGGTTGTCTCCCAACGGGGCACGCCCCTCAGTGAAAGTGAATCCTGGCATGGGGCCCAAGAAGAGGGAGCGTTGAGGGCGTACCCCAACATCGTCGACGAAATGTGATGGGTCTTGGGTTTACACTCCTCCTCCTCCTCCTCCTCCTCCTCCTCCTCCTCCTCCTCCTCCTCCTCCCGTCCTCTTCCTGACCGAGGGAGCGAGGGATGCAACCTCGACCCGCCCTCCGCTCCCCCCCCCACCCCGCCCCGGCGGGCACCCCGCGCCTTCTTGGGCTCGCCCGGCGCGACGATGCAGCCCCAGAACGACATTGCTGGCGGCGCGGGCGGGCGCACGGAGCTCGTCCCCCCTGCTGCTGCCGGTGGTGGCGAGGGGGGGGGCCTCTCGAGAAGGGGTAGGTCGGAGGCCCCCGAGGGGGCTTGTCGGGAGGCAGGGCGGCGCCTGCTGCTGGGAGGCCCCCTTCCCTTTGTGCAAAGGCCGCCCCGCCCCCTCCCCCGCTCGCTCGCAAAGGACAAACGCCGCCCGAGGCCAGGAGTCCGTCCTGGCCCGTCTAACGAGCTGCGTCCAGCCGCGGCAGCAAGGACGCCCCAGGAGATCCAGAAGGGTCAAGAACCTTGTCTCTATATATCCTCAATAGGAGGGCCTCCATAATTTCTAGGTGTCCTTCCCCTCCTGGGTCGGCCATGCCCGGAGAATGAGGAGGAAGAGGAGGAGGAGGAGAAGAAGGGGGGAGGCGGAGGAGGAGGAGGAGGAGGAGGAAGAAGAACAGGAGGAGGAGGAGAAGGAGGAGGGAGAGGAGGAGGAGGAGAAGGAGGAGGAGGAGAAGGAGTAGGGGGAGGATGATGAGGAGGAGGAGGAAGAAGAGGAGGAGGAAGAGGAGAAGTAGGAAGTCTCAGAACACATTGGAGGCCCTCATGTCTCCACACCCAATTGCCTCCCGAAAGCGTTTGCAAATCGCCTCCCCAAAAAAGGCAGTGGTTCACTCCGAGGCCTCGACAATCCTGCCGCTTGACCCCCACAGCCACGCAGGACTCTCGCCTCCCCCTCCTGAGCCTCATGCTCTCCCTGCGCCTGCTCCGCAGTCCCCATCCTCCTCCGCCCTGCGTCCTCGTCATCACCCCCGTCCTCTGCCTCCTCACCGTTCCGCCGCCTTTGCCCGATGCTCCTCCCAGACTTGCTACAAGCACTCGGCGTCCGAAAACGCAAGCAAACCAACGAGGCGTCGCTTCCCTGCCCCGCATCCGCTGCGAAGTTCTGCCGAGCGACCCGCCATGCTCTGAGCGTCACCACGACCACTGGTTGCTGCCGCAGTCGCTGTCGTGACTCGCCAGCGCAACTTGGGCCACCGGCACGGCAGCCTTCAATCTGTGCCTCCCCTGGAGATCCTGACCCCGACCCATTGGCAGATCTCTTTGCCTCGGGTTGTTTATGGATTGGACCTGGGGTTAAGTCGGGCGTGTCCCCCTACAGGGGGGTTTTGGGCGAAAAATAAACAATACTCAAAAAATACCTCCCAAATACTCAAAATACCTCCGAAATGCTCAAATAAGCAATACACCAAAAATACGTCCCAGACTATTTGTTACTATTTTTAAATATTCCCCCTGTAGAGGGACGGGCCCGACTTCAACCTGGGGCTTTGCACGGGCCTCCAGAGGCCCAAGACTTCCCACGGCGCCCGGGGTCTGGGTCTGCCCAACCCGACCGGACGCCCGCGGAGCTCCAGAAAAGGGCCCCAGCGCGTCCAGCACGCACACCTTCTCGGGGCAACGCACAGGTGCCGATACCACTACTGCCCGGACCTTCCCGGGGTGCGTTCTGACCCGAATTGCGAGGCGACTCCGGCGGTGACGACGAGGGCCTCCCAGGCCCGAACAGAGAAGAGGAGAACGAGGGAAGGGCAGAGCGGCATGAACCTCGATGCGGTCGCTCCCCGCCTCGCCGTCGCCCCTCCCCACCCAGCCGGCCCCGCGCGCGGGAAGAGGAAGTGGGCCTGGCAGAGTTCTCTTGGAGAACGCGCGAGCGGCGGCGGGGGGGTGGCGCGGCTAACGGGGAGCCGTGTGATGCTCAAGGAGCTGCGCCCGCGCAAAAGGGGAGGAGGAGGAGGAGGAGGAGAAGGAGGAGGAGGAGGAGGAGGAGGAGGAGAACAAGGGGAGGGTTTCGGGGGAGGTGCCGGGCAAGACTGCGTGCCCAAGGGCCGCCTCCGCGCTCGTGGGAGAGGGGGCCCTCGGGCACGCCCTCCTGCCCCGCACCACCCCTCCACTGCCCCGCCACGCCCTCCCCTGCTGCACGTCCTCTCCCCCCCTTTCCCTAGAGGGAAAAAAAACGACATGAACATAGCCTTTCGACGATCCGCGCGGATGTCTTGGGTCTGCGCTGGGCCCCCTCCCTGGCGCGCGGAGCGCGCCAGGGCGGCGCCGGAGGCGCCGCCAGGGGGCCCCAGCGCAGACCCAGGAGATCCGCGCGGAGCGCCAACAGTTTATGCTTCTGGCGTCTTTCCTTCTTCGATTTCCCCCTCCCTATGCTCCCGTGGGCGGTGGGGCGCAGGACGGCGGGGGGAGAGGGCGAGGAAGGTGCGGAGCGGCAGCGGCGGGGCTAGGAAGGGGAGCGCGGGAGCGGAAGGGGGGAGCAGATAGGGGGGGGGGAGGGAGGGAGGAAGGGGGAGGGCGAGGGAGGACGAGGGAGGAGGAGGGAGTATGGAAGGCGCGGAGGAGGTTGAAGAGGAGGAGGAGCGAGGTGGAAGAGGAGGCGGAGAAGGGGGGATGAGGGGAAGAGAGGAGAAGGAGGAGAAGGATGGAGGATGGATGAGGAATAACTCAAAGAAAGGAGGGGCGATAAGTCAGATGGCAATGGGTAGGACGACGAGGAGGAGCATGATAGCGAAGGGGGAGAATGAGAACGGGGGAGAGGAAGTGAAGCAGGATGAGAGTTGAGAAGGATATGATGTGCAGCTCACACAGACACGACAAAGGGCAGAAGCGATCGAAATCAAGGCGGAATAAGGAATTGCAGCGTTGGGGCACATGGTAGCAAGAGTCAGCGCTCGGCCACGCAAGCATGACCGCGCTTACGGGCGCAAGCCGTTACGAAGTCTAGAGCGCCCCACTGGGACGCATGGCTTCCAACGGCTGATGACAGATGTCCCGAGCAACCTCGCTGAGAAATGTACAGAACACCCCCAGCCAAGATCAGCCAGCTTCGGGTGGCTTCGGACAGTTGAAGAACAAAGGGGCAGCTCGTCCTGCCACTCACCTGTCCATCCAACTACTCCCCTCCATCTTCCTCCCTCGCCCCCTGAAGCGAGAATCTTACTACCAGGAGAACAGAGCACGCACACGCACACACACACACACACACGGTCAGATTCCAATGCGGAACATGCGGAGACAACGCGCCGAATACACAAGAGGAGGGTCCGCATACCCTCTCACGGGCGAGCCGATCGCTGGAACGACACGCGGTCACGTGAGTATCCAGCTCTCGCCACGGCGACCGACATGTAGCCCGCCCTGAACGCCTGTGTATATATATATATATATTATAAACCTGTATGTCAGCCATCGCGGACCCCAAACAATACTCTAGCATATCATGTGGTGTACGCTATGTGGTATAATCTGAGTGGTGCAAACTACGTGGTGCAAATAAGTTCTGTTCGCGGTGGGTTGTCCACTCCACTGCTCGCGCAAACATCCCACACACCCGCCGAAAATTTGATGTGTAAACCTCATGCGGCGGCGATTGCGATGAGTGCTTGGCGCTGGCTGGTGCATGCCTGAGGCCGCGCCAGCCCGCGCATGCGCGCGCGCAGCGGCCAGGTCGTTTGGCGCGACCGACGCGGCCGCGGTGACGCCGACCGCTGGGCACATCCCAGCGGGCACTTGCGTGCGAAGCGGCGACTTGGGCGGGCGCGGTATCATGGCAACGTCGACTATTGTTAACACGATGATGATGATGATGCTGATGATGATGATGATGATGATGATGACGATGATGATGGTGATGATGGTGATGATGGTGATGATGATGATGATCAGGATGATGATGCTGCTGATGATGATGATGATGATGATAGTAGCGATGTTGGTGGCGATGCTGACAGCGACGGCGGCACGACCAGTGACGGCGCCGATGCCGATCACGCCGACGACGGTGACGGCGTCTTCGCAGCGGTGATGAAAGTTTGGGGAGGAATTCGAAATGCGCGCGCGGCAGACGCGCGAGTGGCCCGCATGGAATTATTTGACACGAGCTGTGCCACCCCAACACGCGCGCAAGGGCGTTCGAACGATTTCGACATGCGCGCGCGGATGCCCGTTTGGTAGCATTTTATGAACATGTCGAAAAACTCGTGGTTTTCTTAAGGATTCGCAAGAGCGCGCGCGCATGATTGTTTGAAAATCCGGGTTGCGAAACCCTATGTTCTTGTATGTTGTTTTGGACACTCGCTTTCGAAATCCTTCCGAAGCCGAGCGTTGTTTGAAAGATTCCGGCATGCGCGCGCGACAACGCGCGCGTGCGCACTGCGTCTTTTTTTTGCAAGGGATTCTCGCGACGGCACGCGCGCAAGGTCGTTCGAACAATTTCGACATGCGCGCGCGAAGCCCGTCTGGTAGTAATTTCTGAAAATAGATTAGAACCGATGGTTCCTTTAAACATTGGCAAAACGCGCGCATGTTCGTTTGAAAATCGGGGTTGCGAGAATTTGTGTGTTTCCATGTTGTTTGAAACCTCGGTTTCGAAATCCCTCCGAAACCTAAACAATTTTTGAAGGATTGCGGCATACGCGCGCGACGGCGCGCGCGTGTGCACTTCGTCTTATTTGTTGCAAAAGGATTATTCCGAGTTTTTGGTTTGTGATAAACGAGCGCGCGCGTATTATTCTTGGCAAAGGATGGCGGGTGGGGGCGATACCGCCCCCCCCTGGGATGGTGTAAACTCATATTTACGATGGGCGATGGGGCACAATCGTCTGCAACTTTCAATGCGAAACGGGGGATATGTAACCCTGGGGGGGGGGAGGGTGTTAAAACCCATCTCCTCTTTCAGAAAAGGAGAACTGACTACTGTGCACCGCGCTTGACCACCTCCACTGCTCGCGCAATCACTCCACCCACCCACCCGCAAGTTGGTTTGCAAAACCAACTTGCGATGGCGATTGCGATGGGTGTTTGACGTTGGCTGGTCCATCTTTGCGGACGCGCCGACCCGCGCACGCGCGCGCAGCGGCCCAAAATTTGGCGCGACCGACGCGGCCGCGGTGGCGCTGACCGCTGGGCATATCCCAGCGGGCACTGCACTGCGACTCGGC